TTTCCATGAAGGTTCTAGGGATACAGCAAAAGAGAAGCAATAGCTGTATGCTTGTGAATAAGTGGGTCTCAAGCTGGATTTCTATGGTATATGGTTAATGCAGGGGTAAGGGAGTATAGAGGCATGTATTTATTTATACTTGAGATAGTCCAACAGGAAGGTAGCCTGGGATTATAGATTAAGTGTAGAAAAGTGTGTGTTCTGGAGAGGAAAAGTATGAGGCACAGCATCTTAGTGGGGAAGAGTGTCTTTAGTTTAGCATACTTATGTAAATACATAGGGATAGACGGGCTGGTGGGAGGGAGAATGTTCTCACAACTCTTATATTCTCTGCTAGTCATATTCGGTTTGTGTGTGTGTGTGTGTGTATATATATATATATATATACATATATATATATATATACATATGCATCGGTGCTCACTGGTGCTTTACCAAATACTAGAATTCCAGCTAGAATGACTTGTTAGCAGCCTGCCCTCTGTTAGAGCTAATGGGTTGCAGGTATTGATTTTTTTCTATTTCTATTGATTAGGAGGCTGCTGTACATACAAACCTTAGCATAGCATGGAAAGAGAAAGGGAGGCAAAACAGTTCACATTGCAGCAACTCATCATGGCGGAAAATTCATCCTGGTATCTCAGCCTTCTCCTATCTCTTCTGAGTAGAGAAGGAAGGCATTCCTTTTTTGCAGAAATCAACCCTCAGAGCTCATGAGAGGACACTTTTTGTTTCCCAACCGTCTTCAAATATACCACTCAATGGAAGAAAATGTGTGTAAGAAAAAGCAAAAAAGGAGTCTCGTGGAAAGCACAGGAGTTGTAGCTTCAATCTGAAACACTTATCTTGGGTACCCAATTCATTCATAACAGCACCCAGATCCCACTAAAATCAGCACAAACACTTTCACTTTGGTGTGCTTTAGGAACACGTTCTGGATTTTTCAGTGCCTCTGCAAACTAATGAGCATGTTACTTTGTAGGGGTGCTGTGAGGCTAAATGAACCATTTGTACAAGATTTAGCTTGGAAGAGGACATAAGTGAGAAACTGAGGCACTGCTGTATGGCAGCATTAAAATCTCATACTTGGTTCCTGCCAGAGTCCACTCCTGTCTATCACAAGAGTTTTTTTAGGCACTCTCAGGGCAGAACCCACACCTATTTTGCATGGAAATCTGCTCATCTTAATTGATATACCTCCATATCCTGTATCTCCCTTCCTCTTTAATTTCTGGTCTCAGGGTTACATTAGAGATGACTTTGCTGTAGTACTGATTGTCTGATGTTTAAACTGTGTTGTTGATCTTTAAGTTACATGAACCTGAAGATAAGAAGAAAGGCCCAGGAAGGCTTTTTCCATCTGCATTTATCTCCTTATGTCTATCATCTCCATCTCTAGCTCCTTCACCTGCAAGTCTCTGGCAAAACCCACAAGTCTTCTTTCCATAGCTTTCTAGTTTGTTGAACTGGTCTAAGAAAACCACCAGTATGCAGATATGATGTGAATAATGTTTCTTAAGTGCTTGGGACCCTCTGCTTTGGATGGGAGTAATGACTGCTCTGATCACCCCCTCTACTTCGTGGCTTTTTTCTTCCCCAGTAAAATATCTTACATTTTAATTTTCTTTATACACCATATCTCATTTCTCTCTTCTCACCCCCATTGGCTTCCAGTTCTATGATCATCACCCTAACCCCAGTTTATTTTTTCTAACATCTCCTCTGCTAGTGCATTTCCCTATTAACACCTCTGCTCTGCCTGCAAATGCAGCTGCACCAGCTCTATCTCCTTTACAGCTCGTTACAACAGCTCCTTCTCAGCTGGCCTCCCCAGGATGAAGATTCCTAGATCCAATTTTTATACACTATTGCTGTTTGATTTTATCCTATGTGCCAAAGAGCTCCACTGCAGCACTCAATCCACAAACACTATTCAGTCTCATTACCATCCTATGGAGTTGCTTCCGACTTTGTGCCCTTCATCTCGCTTCCTGCATCTTTCTTGTGCCCCTTTTTTTCCTACAGCACTGCCCCTTCTCTCCACAAATAGCAGCACTCTTGGTTTGCCATTGGAAGCAGACTTCCTGTGGCTCCCTGTCTCATCAGCTTCTCATTTCAAGTAATTTAAAATGTAATTTAAAATCTCTCTATTTCCTCCAGACTATTAATTTCTCTCTCCTTACTCTTCTATAGATGTCATTCTGTGTTGCACTATTCAGAAGATGCAACTGTTGTAAAAATCTGCCACAGTGGTTTTATTCTGTATTCTTGTTTTGTATTATGACTTTTAATGATTCTTTGTAGGAAAGACAAAATCTCAGCACAACATCTAACCACAGCACAAGCAGTCACACAGGACAGTCTGGCATTTGCATTGCCTTTGTTCCATTCTTCTCCTGTGGCATTTAGAACTGTAGAGGGATTATTGTGAATGGTCTAAGAGTATATAAGTAGGGTAGCAGGAAGAGAATTATTTCTGGAAATTGGGAAGTGTGAGGCAGGAAGCCATATTAGTTCTGAGCCTGAGATGTACTGAGCACTCATAGGTCTGACTTCTGTTAGCCAGAGATTATAGAAATTGCCACCCTGAAAATGTGGCCTTCTTACACTGGCAATTTCTTTGGGGAGAAAATGGCCTTCTCTTGTTGCTGTAATACACTATTTGAGAGTACAGAGTAATAGAAGAGCCAACCTTCCTTGGAAATATGAGGTCCAGATTTCCAGAGTGGTTTTCTTGTCCACACATGAGATGTTTGTGCCTGATGGATTTAAGTGCAAGAATAGCCAAATGAAGATTTTTCTTCCTCAGAATCTTTCAGACTCCTGGCTCAGGCTTTCTATCTTTCTTTGAAGAATGAGAAGATTTGAATATTGGGGTGGGGTTGGAAAGGAACAGCCACTAACACAAAAACAAAATGCTCAGAGCCCCAAGAATTATTTATTCTTCACTTATGCCTTCCTCTTCAAGGCCCCTTCCCTCTTTCAGGAGATATATAAGGGGAGGAGAGGTCCTTGGATGATCTTCCCTAGCTTTCCAAGCTAAGAGCCTCATGGAGCCTCCTCAACCTAGGTCATCCCTTATAGAGCCATAACCTCCCACCAGCTCAGGGGTGCTCTCCACATCCCTCAGCCTCCCAAGTTCCTTTGCAGCAAGGACAACAGTTCAGAGAGCCTGCCCACAAACTACCATCCTCCACATTCTTGCAGCAGACTGTACTCAGAGTACTAAAAATGCAGAGTACAATATGCACCTGCCCCCTTGTTCATCCCCAGCTGTTCAACAGTTCCAGGGTACCGAAAGACCCCCCCCAGCTCCAATGGCAGAGGGCAAGGCTAGGATTCCCCCACATGAACTAGGTGCTATGTTTGTCCACAAAGAATATTTCAGTGATCTCAACCTGCACTTTCTTCTATGACCTCTCCCTTTTTCTGCCTTCCCTGGGGCCTCTTCTGCCTGCTAGTGGTGATTTGCATATGGCTGATGCTGGACACCATGAGTGCTTGCTGGTAAACACCTCTACCTCAGTCTCAGCTGTGAGGGCAGCCTGAATTGTGCCCTCCAAATGGGAGAAATGACCCAGGGTCTGTAGGGCAGCCAGTGGCCCCCTGACTGCTTGCTATAGAGCCTTTCATGTCCATGAGTCCCGGGACAGATTGTCCTGGAAAGGCAGTCCCAGTCTGCACCCAGAGAGGGAGTAGGGAGAAGAGGTAACTGGAGTTATGAAATTGCAGCATGGCTGAAGCTCTCCAACTGGTTCAACTTCCCAGCACCCCCTTCCCCCAGCACTGCTCCCCTGCATAGAACAGCAGTGAACCTAAAGCAGATCTTCTGGTCTAATTTTTCACTGAACAATGAATCTGATCAGAGAGAAACAAAATCGGTAGCATCAAGAATTAGATTATTTCTTTTCTTCATGATTGTTGCATTAATGAGCAGCTACATGTATAGTACCAGGAGGTGACTAATGTAATTAACCTGGTGTAATGATACTGCTGAGGAAAAGAGAGAGGATTATGACATACTTAGATGTCAGTGTTGCACAATTTTATATGTGTTCCCTGTACTATCGGGTTGTGTCTGACACAGAAAACTTAAGCAGTGATAGATTTCAGTCTGCATCCATTCAGCTCATGCGTCTTTCTGTGTAAAATGAGGATGTGAAAGGTGGATTGCTTTCCCAGGGTTGAGGGGGTGGAGGTATTCAATTTTGGTGGTGTCTTTCCTTAACAAAATGATACTAATTATCATAAATCGTCCTTTCTCATGAAGAATCTTCCCAAAATGTCTGCTTCTTGGCGCAGGCATTGGGATTTCAGTGAAATCCCCGAAGACAAAGTAAGAACACGGGGATCCACACAACACTGGTCAGGGGGAGGCAGAGGGACAGAAAACGAGCAACACCAAGACATATGCAACTTGCAGCAAACCCGAGAAGAGTGAAGAGCAAGCACTTAAAAATCATAACAACAGCAATAAGAGCATAAATACATGCTTATTTTTAAATTACCCTTCCACGTTACATTTCACCCGCCTCCTGGGCAGAGAAACGGCTGACTGAAGTTTTGTGCGGGTCTAACTGCGGTGTGCGGGTCGCACTCGCAGCTCCGGGTACCTACGGCGGGGATGCGAAGGAGGCTGAGCTGGGGGGCGGCGGTGGGGGGGAAAAGCCGGTGAGCGAGGGAGAGACCCAGCGCCGTCTTGCCCTGGGCTCCGCGGCAAGGGCCGCGGGGAAGCGACCCTTGCCGGTGCCGGTGCCGGTGCCGGCAGCGGCGGGCGAGGCGCAGGGCGGGGGCAGGCTGCCCCCCCGCCCCTCGCTGCCTGCCTGCTGCCTGTGCCTGCCCGCGCAGAGCGGAGCGGGGCGGAGGAGGAGGGAGGCTGCCGCCCGCGGATGCTGGGGCGCGGGCGGCGCGGGCAGGGCGGGCGGCGCGGGCAGGGAGCTGTCCTTCAGCACCGCGGGCCGCGGAGCGCTCCGCCCGCACCGCCGCCCGGGGAGCCCTCTCTCCTCGCCCACCTCCGCCGGGAGCGAGCGCCGCGGCTGTGCGGAAAAGCCATGGGAGGCAAGACCTCGGCACCTGTTCAGCTGAAATCAAGGGCTTACAGTATACTGGGCACTCTGGCTTGGTGGTAGGAGCGAGCAAAAGGAAGGAGAAGCAAGCGAGAAAAAGTGAGAGAGGATTGGAGCGATTGCCGCTGCCGGGAAAAAAAAAATAAAAACCCAAGGAAGATAACTGGGAAGGAAAAGGATTTTCATGGCGCAGGCTGCAGAGCTAAGCAAGAAGACTGAAGGTTGCATCTCTGCTCTTACAGTCTCTAACTGTCTAGGTCCAGATAATGAGAGATTGTGTTGAGGATGCTGCTGCTGCTCCCCTGTTCACTGTGGAAGCCATCTCCAAATTAGCCATTACATATGGAAACTGGAGACCAGAATTTTAGAAAAAGGGATTAAGGCGTCTCATTTTGGGGGGGGTTCTCTCTTTATTTGTTTGGTTTTTCTTGGTTCTTTTCTCTCTTCTTTTTTTCTTTTTCCTTTTTCCTTTTTTTATATTTCAACCAGAACGTTTCCGATTTAAAAGGCAAGCCTCTTCCCGTGTGGTCTTTCTAATTTACACTCTTTTCCGTGGGCTTTCTTACCTCCCTTTTTTGATATCTATCTCTCTCTCTATACCCATTATATTATTAGTCGGAATTATTATTCTTTTATTTTATTAAACACACACACCCCAAGAATCAGAAGGCGGTTGGGTATTTGTATAATGAAGAATTATGGGGCTCTTTGACAGAGGTGTTCAGATGCTTTTAACCACCGTTGGTGCTTTCGCTGCCTTCAGCCTGATGACCATAGCTGTGGGGACCGACTACTGGCTTTACTCCAGAGGGGTTTGCAAGACTAAAACTGTCAGTGAGAACGAAACCAGCAAAAAGAACGAGGAAGTCATGACCCATTCTGGATTATGGAGAACCTGCTGCCTAGAAGGTATTTGATTCTGGACCTCCACACACCCCCTCTCCCACCACCCCACGTTTCTCCCTCCTCCCCCCAATAAATCCCTCCACATTCCACCATTTTCTCACTTCATTCCTTTTGCGGTGGATTGAGAGTGGTGGGCTCAGTTACTCAGAGCACAGAGGCAAGAAGACAGGCAAAACATTCACTGTTCTGTTCCCTTTTCCTTCTTTCCCACCCTCCCCGCTCCCACCTTCTCCAAAAATTCACTTCCTCCCTCCAACTAGAATGATGTGTGTGTTACAAAACCACCGAGAGATCCTTTCAAAAAGCAACTGTGCAGTCTGCCTGTCTTCAGCTTGTTTGTATTGCCTGGGTAAGCAATGCCAAAATGCTGTGTTATTGCTGTGCTCCGGCTGCAACCAGAGAGTGAAATAATTGCTCTCTTTGCAAAAGGGTTATTTGCAAAGACAAGACTGTGAGTGAGGGGCAATGTGGGGAGGACGTGATTGCAAAGCACTTTGGATGCAATTTAGTTCACTTTAGGAAGGAAAAAGAAAGAAAGGGAAGCAACCGTGTTCTGTCCAAAATGTCTCATACAGAATGATACCAGTCATCTCAAACAGAGTTCAGAGCATTTTGTAATGTCTGTAGGCAACCACATCTCACTGGGCTGGATGCAGAGGGGTCTAGTTGGCCACTGACTGGTTTGGTTCGGGGCTGGGGTTTTTCCCCAGTTTGTTTGGTTTTGGGAGGTGGGTTTTGTTTGGGGTTTTTTTTAAGGTTTATGGTAAAGGCTTAAAATAAACAAGTCTCTGAATGGAGAAATCAGCTGAAGTCTGATGTGGTGAAACTGAACAGCAACTCAGTGACATGTCTGATGACAGAAGAGACACCACTGCAGCCAACTTCTGGAATCAGACGTTCTAAAGGGAGAGGGAAAGAAAAGAGGGGCCAGTGATTCGCTTTTAAATATGTGTTGCTGAGTACAGCTATTGGCGTACGTGTGGGCTGGGGAGGTGGTCTTCAGCCTGTGCTGGAGGGAGAGGGGCAACCGATGTAAATGCACGGTTTATGTTACACACGTAGTGAGGAGAGAGTGAGCGAACAGGAGCGCACATTACAGCCCGTTGTGAGAGCCCTGTTTGTGAATCAGCTCCCAGCTGGACGGTGGGCTGCCGGGGGTTCGTGGACATCCAGGGATAAGATCGGTGTCTGCCGGTGTCCACCGGAGCTGGGTGTGCCTGGAGCTCCCTGTCGGGAGAGAATGGCAAGTGGGTACCGCAGAAATTATTTTCTTAACCCGGCACTGGGAGGTGGAAGGCAGGGGGAAGGGGGATATAAACTATGTATGTTTTGATGTCCCTCACCAAAGAAAGCTAAAGCTGCTGTTTGGAAATGGTTGTGTCCAGGAAGAAGCGTGAATTTCCCCCCCGTTCTTGGTGCAAATGGTTGAGTGATGGCTGGACATGTTTTGAATAGCTAAGTGACTTCATTGAGCGATGGTCTATTTGACGCATACTGCATTTAGTGCCCTTTGTCAACCCAAACTGCTGCCTTTTAACATATCCTGCAGAGGAGCTCTATGCTGAATACTATATGCTGTATCCACGCCAGAAAATCAATAGCAGTAAATTAATGGGGGATGTTTTAAACACACTTGCTCACATACACTCACAGATTTCCTGCAAATAGATAAATACATAGAGTTATATATTAATAAAAAATGAAAAGCCTTTCACACAGATATTCATTACAACCAGGGAAGGAGACATCTCCTTAATTAAAAATTAATGAGAGAGAGAGGGGGAAAAAAAAAGCCCAAATGCAAAGCTATGCAGGGAAGAGAGGCTGCAGGGATGAACTCCCTTCCTGAGCCATGTCCCCAAGCTGGAGGGCGGAGGGAGGCTGGGGCTGAGATAGAAGGTATGAGGACCCCAGCCAGGAGAGGCAGTGAATTCAGATCATGTCTATCTGCCCACAGAGCCGTACCCAGAGGGACGCGGTCTGAGGGGGAGGAGGAAGGGGCGGGTGAGGTTTGTCAGATTGGAGGAGCTCAGGGCTCCTTCTCCTTTACATCTGACAGGACCCCACAGGCACTGTTGAGAAGTGGCTTGCATGGCAAAAGAATGTGCCAGGATGCTTCCAATTAAAAGCTTTGAAGTGCCCCCAGCCCCCACAATGTTGCGCTGCCAGCCCAGGTCCCCTGCCCTCCCTGCTGATGCTCTCCAGTGGGCTAAAACCATAGCCCTTCAAGAACAGTATGAAATTCAGCCTGGGCACAACCTGCATGGCCCTGGCAGGGTGCTCTCACTCACCCCACACACATGAGGGTCGGGCTGGCCCAAACCCCCAGCTCCTGAATGCTGGGCAGCAGCAGCAAATGGGGTAAGAGGGTGCAATGCACCACAGGGGAGCTGACCCCAGCCCTGAGTGCCTTGCCTGAAGGCACAGGTTGCACTAAAACTTGGATAAAGACTTGGTTTCAAGAGCATCTCAGCAGAAGGCAAAACCATCCCCATGGGCACACGCTGAGCAGGGCCTGAGCATGGATTTGCCTCGTGAGGTGACACGGCATAGGTTTGGCACTGCCACTGCTGGGATGCCTCTGCTTGGCTTCCCACAGCCTCACAGCCTGCTTGGGGTGGTGGCTGTCACTCCCTTGGTCCCAGGACAGCACAGCCAAATATCCCTACCAGCCCTTGAATGGCAGGGCTCTTACTGTCATGTCTGATCAACTTAGTCAGGGGGTATCTTCTTTCTTGTCATAAGGAATCAGAACAGTATCCCTGGTTGATTCCCTCTCCTTGGTGAAAGATTTCTGCTGGTGAACAGGAAAGGGAAGGATGCAGCAAAGGCTCCTTTCCCCCATGATACATAGAGTGGGTTGATTTATGGAGGGAAGCACTTGGTCTCAGGAGGCTGTAAAAAGGACAAAAACCTTGGGTCTGTGCACAGCCTGCCCACGGTGTGGCAGAGGCACCTGATAAAGGGTGTGGGGCAGACACTCTTCTCCCTGGGGTAGATGTCAGGGCAGGTCTATACAGTGAGGGGAGGCAGTGAAGAGGAGGGCAAGAGGCTTTGTAACAAGAAAAGAATCAAAGGAGGAGTTCAAACTGCCATCTGCTACTGGTAGGAAGCCTCTGATAATGTTGCCTTCATTTCTAGAAACGTGGAGGAATGCTGGCATTAGTCAACACTGTAGGCTGTCAGAGATGGTGGACACCTCATGTTCAAGTTATCATACTAAATTGTCTTTTCTCTTCTTGGCCAAGAGATCCTGTAACAAAAATGGATTTGAGTACTTATCTTGGGCCCTATGCACAAATACATCATCGTCAGAATTGCAAGTTCCTCTTGGAGAATTTGGTTCCCAGGCTTTCAGTTTCTGGGTTTCCCCTCTCTTCAGTCATTCTATTCCCTGTAAGAATCTGTGTCTGAATTCCCTACAATGGACTTTCAGTCAACACTTTCAGATCTTTGTATTACTTCAAAGGAGAGTGTAATTTGGGAAATTCCTCCTCTCTTGGGATTTCTTCCCCCCTTTCTTGTGTCCTACAGTGATCCCCTGCTCCATGGTGGGACTCAAGCAGACAGGTGGTGTCAGTTCACATTACTGCAGATCATGCTTCTGATTTTTTCCCTAATCTTCCTCCAGAAGATCCTCTCTTAAACTTTGGGGTTGCCCAGATATGTCTCTGAGCCATTCAAAAGTCTCTGCCCTTCAAGAAAAATGTTTTTTCTCAGCCCTTTAGCTGTATAGGCACAAAACATACATGAACACTGAACAATTGAGATCTGCAAGCTCATGCCCCACATGGAATGCTGCACCTCTTACAACTTCGAAATGGCTGCAGATATTCCAGCCTAATTCCTTCTTGGCACTGAATGTTTTAAAACCACTTTTTATTATGAGCGATGCCTTGTCTAATTCTTTCATTAGCTCCTGTAGATCTCCTAGAGGATCTCAAAAAGTGAGGGACGATGCCTTATCAGGGTCTTATGAAGCAAGAAAATGAAACGTATTTCGTATCTGTAGGTTATTGGTTTTGTCATGTTGTCATTATTATTAAGAAACTGATAGGTCTGGGAGGCTTTTGTACTGAGAAGGCGGGAGAGAGGAGTCCAGGGCAGGCAGGCATGAGTGATGCACATGGGGTTAGACATCCCTGTAGATCTGACTGGTGTGAAGGCAAGTAATTGAATGGATGTTGGTGGAGAAAATAATTCCTGCCTAGAGACCCTTCCCAAGGAGAATTAATGAGCTGATCTGTTCCCTTTCCAGCTTGTTATATCTGAACAGTGCATGAGAGCTAAGTGCAGATTCAGTGTTTGCAAAAATGAAGAGCTGACAGCAAAGTGAGGCAGGGCACAGGAGTGGACAAGCTCCTGCCAGACGATTCTGGCGCTGCGTCGCTTCCTTTCACTGACTTCTCCCACTGCTGTTTGTTCCTGGTGCACCTCTTTCCTTTCACATCCATTTTATGTGTAGGTTTTTTTCCCTGTTTTCCCTCTTACCTTTCATGATTTTATTTCTTTCAGACGTTGTTTCCTGTCAGTGTCCCTAGTTTTGCTCTCAGAATTGCCTGCCGTCCTACTTCCAAGGATCCACAAATCTACAAAGGATCTTTTCCTTTCATCCTTGCTGACCTAATCCAGGGCCTTATCTGAAAATTCAGTGGGTGTAGCAGTAGATTAAATAAGGGTCTCCATGTCTTCACAGTTCAGGACCAGGAGCATCCTAGCCCAGCTGTGAGATGCAGCAGGAGGAAATGACCAGGCACAGAGCTGATTGTTGCTGGCATTGCATCTGCTGGGGAAAAAAGAGATTCAGAGCTGGGTAAAGGCCTTGGGTAAAGAAGAAGACAAAGGATTTTAAAAAGTGGGATGGCAGATGGTGAGGAAGAATTACTCAGGATCCCAGACTTGGGTAGGTTTGGTTCTCCTCTCACCTTAAATTCACACCTGACCGAAGTCACAGAGAAGGCAGGGATTTGAGGGGTTGAGACCTGCAAGCTCAGCTCCTTTGT